GCTTCTGATACCTTCACACAGACAGACATGCAGGCAAAAAAAGAAGCAAGGAAGGAAGCACAAAGAGATGTTACCTCCTTGTGCATCTCTTGAAAGCATATGAAACTTCAATTGGTAACTAAATGTGTATCACTGTTGCAGATCAGCTTCCCCAGGCCGCAGGGTTGAGAGTATATGTGGTGTACAGTGGTTATAAATGTAGCCCCTGCCTCCCAGAAGGAGAAGGGAGCTGTCCTGCCAGCCTAAAAGTAGCCTTGGCTCACTCTACCTGCATGCTGGAGTTGGGGTGGTCCTTCAATTTGCCCCAAATTAGACTGAAATGTCTAGGTTTTTCTTTTTCTTTCCTTAGTTTTAAAGTTACATTTTATTGCCACTGAACACATATGAACAGTTTATACCATATGGGTCCCAGTGATTAAACATCAGGGTTGGCAGCAAGAGCCTTTACCCACTGAGTCGTCTTGATGACCCACAGCCTGTAAATTCTCCACTGAGGTCCATCCAGTGACTAGGAAAGGATGTGGCCCTGCAGAAGTGGCGCTGCCGTCTTGGCAGCCCCTGAAAGCATTGTCTCCTGAGCCTGCTCTTAGCAGCTGGTAACCAGTTCTGCCACTGGATCTTTTCTTCCCTTTTCCATCTCCATCACTCTCCTGAGAGCAGAAGTCGGTCTGTGTGTGTGTGGGAGGCAAGACAAGAAACCCTCAGACACAGAGAATGCATTTTCTGCTGTCAAGGTAGAGTTGCTATTTTGGACCTCAGAACACCCGCTTGGAGAAGAGACTGAAATAGCCCAAATGAACTGGTGGAAAAAGATTCCGCTTAGACAGTCAGCAGGGAGCTCATCCTAGGAGAAGCTGGGCTTCCAAGTGTGCTACTATCACACTCTCCGAGAGCACAGCATCATTCACTCTATGTGGTTACAACACCTACTGCGTGTGTGTTTTAAATTACAGCAGAGGCAAAATGGGAAGTGCGTGCCCCGTGTTACTCGTGGCTTTACTGAGCCTCTTTTTTTTCTCCCACACAGGGTTTCTCTGTGTAGATCAAGCTGGCCTTGAATTTACAGAGATCTGCCTGCCTCTGCTTCCAAAATACTGCAATTATGCCACTGCCTGACACCCCCCTTTTTTTTTTTTTTTTTTTTTTTTGGTTTTTCAAGACAGGGTTTCTCTGTATTGTTTTGGAGGCTGTCCTGGAACTAGCTCCGTAGACCAGGCTGGCCTCGAACTCACAGAGATCCGCCTGCCTCTGCCTCCTGAGTGCTGGGATTAAAGGCATGCACCACCAACGTCCAGCCCTGACCTGTCTCTTGTGTTTGATGTGAGCTCTTATGTACTCTCCTGGTTTAATAACCCCAAACTGTGATCATTTGTGTACAACTTTCATTGCATGCTTTTTCTCGTAATACTAACCTTTCTTTTTTCCCCTCCGTCATCTGTATTTTCTTTCTAAGCTTTAATTATGAAAAATGCCAAGCATATGCAGGGGCAGGGACCACCCAGTGCTGTGCTCCCGTATCAAACACCACTGGTGATGAGTCTGTGGTTAGTGCTGAGTCTGTGGCTGCTCCTGTTTCAGTAATGCACCACATACCTTCTACGGTTTTAACTGAGTAGTTTTTGTTTTTGAGGCAGGGTCTTGCTATGCAGCCCAGATCTCAAACTCTCCATTCTCTGCCTCAGACTCCAGAGTGTGAAAATTATAGGCCTAGACTACTACACCCAGATACTCTAAATTGCTAGATTTGGTTTGGCTTTTGATTTTTGAGGCAGGGTCTCTATATAACATGGTCTCAAACTCCCAATAGCCATTTTTCCTCTGCTCCCTCAGTGACTGCTGAGGTTATAGGTTATGCCACCATTCCGATGCCCTGAGTTTATAAATGTGAGTTTATAAATTTTTCTTTTCCTTTCCATCTTTTGTTTTTTTGTCTTGAAGTGGACTCAAATGATCCTCTTGCTCCAGCCTTCTGAATGACTGGTACTACAGGCATGCTCCAACATGCCTGGGTGTGAATATATAGTCTTTATATGTCATATTGAACATTCTCCAAAGCATTTTCAGTCAAGTACAAAGTTGAATCCCTCCCCCTTCCCGCCCCCCGCAACAGGATATCTCTGTGGCTTTGGAGCCTGTGCTGGAGGTTGCTCCGTAGACCAGGCTGGCCTCGAACTCAGAGATCTACCTGGGCCTGCCGCCCACGTGCTAGGATTAAAGGTGTGCACCACCACCACCGGCTAAAAGTTGAAATATTTTAAAGTCTGACTATAGTATCATGAAGTTAAAAATTGTAATAAAAGGAAACTAGGGCAATTCCAAATATCATATATACTCCTTATATCTCTGACTTAGCATTAATAGCCTAGAAGAGGCACCCATGTTGTTATGTATAGCAGAAATTTTGTTTTGGCTTTTAAGTTTATAATTATTTACTGACTCTGCCTCTGCCTCCTGAGTGCTGGTCTAAAAGTGTGTGCTACCACCCCCGGCCAGAGCTTGCTTTCTGGTGCTCTTCACCAAAAGGAAGCAACAGTCCCTGGAGAAGTGGCTGATTTCAGGGCTGGGGTAGCAGAGCGAGATAAGCCTGGGACAGCAGGAAGTGTTCAAAGAATAATGAGGATAGTCAAAAGCATATCCAGACCAAATGTGAGCCAACGGGATTATCAAAAGAAATATGTTGGGTGGTGGTAGTGCTCACCTTTAATCCCAGCACTCAGGAGGCAGTGGCAAGCGGGTCTCTGAGTTCCAGGCCAGCCTGGTCTACAAAACGAGTTCCAGGACAGCCAAAGCTACACAGAGAAACCCTATCCCAAGAAACCAAAACTATAGCAAAAACAGCAAAAAACAACAAATTCTGATTTTTTTCTTTTAAAATATTGTTTCATCTTTTGTGAATGTGTGTGATTATGACTGTGTGTGTGTGTTGGAACTCCTTAATGAGAACCACGTTTTAAATTCAGCTCTTTTATTTGTGGTTTGTTGAGACAGGGTCTTGCTATCTTTCCTTTGCTGGCCTGAAATTCACTGGATAGATCAGGCTGAACTCAAACGCATGGGCGACCCTTTTGCTGCTGTGTGTGCTACCACACGATTTTGTAATTTTGAGACAAGGTTTCTTTATGTAGCCCAAATAGTTCTTAAACTCATAGGAGTCCTCCTGCTTCGGCCTCCTAAATGCTGGGGTTACAGATATGATCTGTCTTAATTCTTTTTTTTTTTTTTCTCGAGACAGGGTTTCTCTGTGGCTTTGGAGGCTGTTGTCCTGGAACTAGCTCTTATAGACCAGGCTGGTCTCGAACTTACAGAGATCCGCCTGCCTCTGCTTCCCAAGTGCTGGGATTAAAGGCATGTGCCACCATTACTCAATCTTAATATGACTATTATAAAAATATAAATTATAAAATGGACACAATGGCACATACCTCTAATCCTAGCACAGGGATAACGAAGGCAGGAGGATTATTGTGTGTTTGGGATGAGAACATGAAACCCTGCCTCAAGCAACATAGCAGAAACAGGAAGGCAGAAAGAAGTGGGAGCATTCCCTAACCTGCATTTTTCATCCCAGATGTTCTTCCTTCTCTTTTCATTTCAAAGCTGCAGCCTCTGTTTTTGGTCTTTTCACTCTTAAACACTTTGAAACATGCTCCTATGAATTATACGTGCAGTAAAGGTGTGGTTTTTAGTATTTTTATTAAGTGTGTTTGTGTCCATGTACCAGAGTGGTGTGTGGAAGTCAGAGAACAACTTGTAGCGGTTGCTTCTCTCCCATTCTACCATGTGGTTTCTGGGGACTGAACTCAGGGCGTCAGGCTTAGCGGCTATGCACTTGCTCATTAACCCACTTTGCCGGCCCCCCAAGCCAGTACTAAAGACTAGAAAGCAGACAGGCTCTAGTGAAAATCTTGGATGATAAACCTTTTAGATTTCATGATAAATATACACTCATCTTCGCACATATGCATGCATGCTTTGATTTTTTTAAAGCTGGTCATGGTGGCTTATGTCTGTATAGCAGCAGCAAATGCCTTTACCTGCTGAGCACCCCCTGGCCCTTGTTTGTGGTATTTTATGGGATAACAGCAACAACAGGATTTTGTAATAAAGTGAAAGAACCACAGGGAATTCTTTTGTAACCTCGTTTTGTAGATGACAGCAAGTACCTTTTCTGGGTGTGTGCTGAATCAGTAGATGAGTCACAAGGGCTCTGCAAAGAACAGGTGGCCTCTTTCTTGACTTCTGCAAGTTCCTGACACTGACCCCTTTGATCTAAATAAAGCATCCAGAATGCTAATGGTGGAGCTGTCATTCAGTGAACAAACATTTATTGAAAGTTTAACATATACATAGGACTAGATGTGGTAACCTTAACCTATATCCCAGGACTCTGGAGGATAAAGAGTTCAAAGCCTTTGTTGGCCACATAGCAGATTCTAGGCCAGCCTAGACTACATGAGACTGTGCTTTAAAAGGAACTGGGTATGGTTTTGCACACCTTCAGTCTCAACATTGTAGGAGCAGAAGACAGAAGATCTGGTCTAAATAGTGAGTTCCAGTCCAGTAAGGGTTACATGGTGAGACCCTGTCTCAAAAAAAAAAAAATGGCTGTATTCTGTTCGAAGTGCTGTGATTTAATATTTCTGGTTCTCAGCCTATCAGGATGGGGTGAGCCATTAGATCATAAGCAGTTCTTTTTGGTTTTGTTTGTTTGTTTGTTTTCGAGACAGGGTTTCTCTGTGGCTTTGGAGGCTGTCCTGGAACTAGTTCTTGTAGACCAGGCTGGTCTCAAACTCACAGAGATCCACCTGCCTCTGCTGGAATTAAAGGTGTGCGCCACCAACGCCTGGCCCTCATAAGCAATTCTTAAAGTAGTAACTGCCCCCTTGGGTAGCTTGAGAGAAGCCAGCGGCACTTGCAGCCCTGGAGCGAGTTGTGGGGAAGGAGCAGTGGACCTTTGTGGACTTGTTATCAACCAAACTCTTTCTGTTTTTGTTTTTCAGCTGGAAGAAGAAAGATCTGTACTCAATAATCAGTTGTTAGAAATGAAAAAGAGGTAGGCTTTCTGTGTGTTTACTCATGTGTGTGTTTGACAAGAAAAGCTTGAGAACGTGCCATGGGTACTAGATTGTAGAAAACACTCAACATCTTATATTCAGAAAATGGCATTGTGGTGTCTGAGTGCTTACAGTTGACAAGTTATGAAGATCCATTTGTGCAAGTTTCAGAAATTTAAAATTTTAAGCCATTTTCAATTGCATTTACTCAGAAGTGCTATACTAAATTCAGATTACCTCATATCGATGGTTTAGTAATGAACATTATTATAATTGCATGCATAGTAACCAGTTTAGATATAATACTGATTTCAATTATGGGAAAGCTTGAGTTTTCAATAATAGGTAATATTACTTTTTTTCTGTTATTCATTATCCTCCATAATATTTTATAACTTCCCAAGTTCTTTTGAGTAGATAAATATAGTTCATAGACATGAAATATTTAGGCCAGGTCAGGGTAGAATATGCCTATAATTCTAACACTCAGGAGGCTGAGGCTGGAGAATCATAAGTTTGATTCCAACCTGTGCTACATTGCAAAATCCTGCTTTAAAAACCAAAGCTGGGCAGTGGTAGAGCACGGCTTTAATGCCAGCACTTGGGAGGCAGAAGCAGATGGGTCTCTGAGTTCTGGGACAGCCAGGACCATATAATGAGACCCCATACAAATAAATAATTTAAGCTGGGCGTTGGTGGTGCACGCCTTTAATCCCAGCACTCGGGAGGCAGAGGAGGCGGATCTCTGTGAGTTCGAGGCCAGCCTGGTCTACAAAGTGAGTTCCAGGACAGCCTCCAAAGCTACAGAGAAACCCTGTGTCAAAAAACCAAAAATAAATAAATAAATAATTTAATTAGCTAACATTAAGTAATTAAAATAAAGTAGGGCTTAAGAATATAACTCAGCAACAGAGAGCTCGCTTCACATGTATGAGCTCCCGTGTTCATTCCCACACCAAAAACAAGCAAAGCAACAAAACCACCTATAATCTTTGAGAGTGAGGGAATCAGTAGTTCAGGGTCATCCTCCAGTACACATCAAGTTTGAGACCCTGTGCTTTAAAAGAGTGGAAATGAAAAACAGAAAAGAAACCCAGCCTACCCCCAAATTTTCCCAGGCTGTTAAGAACTGCTTTCCTTGTCAAAACAGAGGATTCCCTGTCCTACTGATGTCTGGCAGATGTGTCTTACCCTTGGGAGTTCAAGGTTTTATTTAGCCTAGCAAAACATTTGGATTGCACAATGTGGATTGCTGTATTTTAGAGGCTGTTGGGCCTTGGTCCAGGGGAAGCCTTTCCTTCTCTCTGGTTTTAATTAAAAAGCACTTAAGGTTCATCAGGCGGTGGTTGTGCATGCCTTTAATCCCAGCACTCAAGAGGCAGGGCAGAGGCGGGCAGATCTTTGAGTTCAAGGACAGCCTGGTCTACACAGTGAATTCTAGGACAACTAGGGCTATATAGAGAGACCCTGTCTTTAAAAAACTACACATATGCTCACACATGTGCATTCATGCTCTCTCTCTCTCTTACACACACACACACACACACACACACACACACACACACACACACACACAAATACTTGGGTTACTTTGTTGAGTTTCTCCAAGGTCTTTACTTTCTAGAATGCACATGTGTCTCACCATGGCTTGCTTCCACTGGACAGAAAAATAATGAGGTTTTGTTCCTGTATCTTTCTCAGAGGGGAGCAAATGAAAGAAAATGTGCTAATGTAATATGTAATCACTTTACATTTACACAACACTTTTAAATTCACAAATTCATGTAATCGTAAAACATCCCAGTGGAAGATGTGGGGTGTGCATTATTTTTTAGATGATGAAGCAGAAGCCCCCATACCAGAACTTAGCTAAGAATTCACTCTTTTAAGTGATAGGTGCAGGCTAGAGACCTGGAGCTTCAGGATTTTCTGTTTTCTTCTCCATGTTCCTTGTAAGAGATTCTGTGCTTTATGAGTTCTTACTTATGTGACCGACTAAATTATATGTTTAGCAAAGTATCTCTCAAAAATTGCTGCTAATTTAAACCAGGCCTAGTATCTATTGGGGAAGCTGAGATAAGAGGGCCACAAATTCAATGATAGCCCCAAGCAACTTAATGAGATCTGTCTCGAAAAGTGAAAACACTGGAAGGACTCCACAGTCAGTGATAGGATGCTTGCCCGCATGTGGGAGGCCAGAGTGTCAGTCTACCACCACCAAAACCAAACATTAAAATGACTCCTGCCAATATTGATGAACAAACATAAAGATAATAAAATCAGAAAAGTTGTAGAATGTTTCTATATTTAAACTGATTTTCTCTTGTTAATTCAGAAGACTGGATTTGAATGTATTTTAAAATAGCAACAAGTTATAAGTTAGACCTTAAAATGCCTCCCCAGTGTCAATTTGTTAAGGATTCCTCTGTGGAAATTGTTTTTATTTAAAGATTTATTTATTTATTATGAATAGGACATCCTGCCTCCATGTACCAGAAGAGGGCACCAGATCTCATTATGGATGGCTGTGAGCCACCATGTGGTTACTGGGAATTGAACTCAGGACCTCTGGAAGAGCAGCCAGTGCTCTTAACCTCTGAGCCATCGCTCTAGCCCAGGATATATGTTTATGATGGCTAACTCCAAAGACCTATGTCATAATAGCACACAAACTTCTTTATTGATGCAGTCAGTAGCCTGTCTGTGGTTTAAATTAGAAGGGAAGGCAGGAAGTGACCATGTTCCTCATGGTCATGAGAGGGACTTGCAGGACCCCACCATCAGGTAAAGCAGGCCTGGGGAGTCAGTGTGAGAGCTCCAGCCCAGCTGTGTAAGGTCCTGGGTTCCATACAGCATCCCACCCTAGGAAAAGCCTTCAGTGGAATCTGAGGATCTTAAAGCTGACCTGGCCTAAGGAGTAAATTTAAATTGTAAGCTAAACACGGGTAAGGTGGCTGGCTCAGTAGGTAAGAGGGCTTGCTGCCACCAAACCTGACAACTTGAGTTTGAGACTCATGTGGCAGAAGGAAAGAACTGATTCCAGCAAGTTATTGTTTGACCTCCACACCCATGGCATGCACACCTACACATATGTACAAAATTAATAAATGAAAGAATGAATGAGTTAATGAATAAATATAATAATTTTAAATTATAAACCAAGCATGGTAGAATATGCCTGCAATCCCAGCTCTTGAGAGGTAGACGACCAACTTGGTTACATGAGACTGTCTTAGAGATCAGTAGTGTCTTCCTGTATTTGCTTTGTGGCTTTGGTATCTGTAAACATGTATTGCAGGCAAAATGTAGTGAAGATTTTTCTCTGAATTTAAAACTGTAATCATTTGAAAACTGGATACAGTTGGACACACATCTTTAAGAACAGGTTCCAGACAGTGTATGGTCTCCCACTTTTAACCCCAACACTAGGGAGGCAGAGGCAGGAGGATCTTCCTGAGTTCAAGGCCAGCCTGGTCTACACAGAGAGATTCAGGCCAGTCAGGGTTACAAAACAAAAACAAGAGAGGGGGAAAATCAGGTTCCCAGGGATCTGGCTGGTAAGGTGGGGTTGTCTAACTGCTGGAGTGGAGGCATCTGCTCCTCCACAGCTGTCCAGGCTGATGATGCACAATAGGGAGCTAGATTGGCTCCCATGTTGCTCTGGGCTTTTTTTTGTTTTTGTTTTTTGTTTTGTTTTTCGAGACAGGGTTTCTCTGTATTGTTTTGGAGCCTGTCCTAGAACTAGCTCTGTAGACCAGGCTGGCCTCGAACTCACAGAGATCCGCCTGCCTCTGCCTCCCAAGTGCTGGGATTAAAGGCATGCGCCACCAACACCCGGCTTGCTCTGGGCTTTTTAATGTCAAAGAAGGAACAGCAAAGCCAAAGTTTTAGACATAGGTTTATGGGAGGTCTAAATTCAACTGGTAGTACTGAATGTCAACCCTGTGCTGACCACAAGTATGGCCTCCACTTGTGAAGCAGCCTGCGCTGCCCCAGCTCATTCAGCTTCCTGTGGGTTGTAACTGTCTGACTGTCTCCGAGCTTGCGCTACTTACAATGCTCACCTCATCCTCTCTTTTCCCTTTCCTACTCTTGCTTCCTTTGCTATATCTGTGTGTCTTTCATGGTAAGACTAAAGAAAGTCTATCCACGTTATAATAAATAAATCTCATATATTTTTAGTAAACCAAATTGTTGTATATATTTTGGCTGCCTTTGTCCCTCTGTGTCTTGCTTTTGTTTTGTAAAAATATGCTCAGCAATGTACATACACACACACACACACACACACACACACACACTTCTTTTTGATATTGATATACAGCAAAGAATTTGGGTGCAAATTTAGTTCTCCTTTCTGTATTTGCATTTTTCTTCATGTTTCTAATATTTGGTTCTTATTATCTTGCATTTTAAAGCTTGCCCAGTAACACTTTAAGGTATTTGCTTCATTACTGGCTTTATTTCTTAAGTAAGTAGTAAGAGAAGAATCTGAGTGACACATTCCTTTGGAGGATGGGACAAGAGTTTCTGGCCCTGAAGCCCTTTTTTTCATACTGTGTTATCATCCCTTCTTGGTATTGGTAGTATGAGGAAACCCTTCCGGCCAGCATGGCTTAAACTGTTTGCTTCTCATACATTAGTAGTGTTGGCATGGATGATTTAATTCAGCCCCTCTTGGTTTGTACAGAGGAATTAGGGCGTAGAAATTGCTTAAGAAGCCATCACTGATGACCTGTCACAAAGATGAGCTGCCAAAGCCTGTGTGCCCTGTCATCTGGTAGACCTCCTGCTTCCTTTCTTCCTCTTTCTTTTTCTTCTTTTAAAGTGTGTTGAGAGGGTGCAGATTCTTACACCATGTGGATTCTCAGGATCAAGCTCATCAGGGTTGGTGCTGAGCCACCTCTTTCTTCAGCATGTGTCCTTTGCTTGATTCATAATAAACATCCTGTCTCCATCTTAGCAAACTGCATGGCTCGGGGCTGTATGTAGACAGGATAAGCACGGAGTTGGGTTGGTGAACTTTCTGCTGCTTACTGGTGACTGTCCCTCCCCAATACTAAGTGGTGCCCGTGGGATCTCAGCCAGCTAGGTCTTGAGCATAGGAAAATCCACATCTGTCTTCAGCAAACCCAGTCCTGCTAATTTTTAATCAAAACATTAAAAAAATAATAAAATCTGAGTGCTACTTAAGATAAACAAAGCCCTTCTTTGCACGTTGCAGAAATGCCTGTTTATTTCTCCACTCCAGAAGCCCTGTTTTAACTCTTAACACGGCCCCATTTCTTAGCACTTACTCAGGACTTGATGTGCCTTCCTTCCTAGTGTTATTAATTCAGAACCCTTCTGTGAAGTCTCAGATTCATCTCTTACTACTTATAATTCTGGAGCATAAAGATGTAAGCCACACAATGAGATCAATACAACACGTTTATTTCCATCTTTGTGTAGCCATGAGAATTTTGTAATTCATGTGCCGGATACCTTGGGTCTCACTAACCAGCCATTCCTCTACCATGTCTAACTTGGACCTCCGTTTCCTATTCCCCCAGTTGATTTGAAACATACTGAATGCCACTGGCTCTGCATTCACCCACCTCTTCCCATAGAACTGGCAGTGACTCAGTTCCTAGTTGCAGACTCTTGCTGTCGACCGCCTCCACTGATGCAGTGTCTGAGATTGTGTGGCCTGAGCGCTAGCCTGAGACACTTTTTCCCTTGTTTTATTTTCCCTAAAGTAATCTGGTGATACATGATTTGTTTATTAAAAATTAAGACCTTTTTGTTTTAAAAACTGGCTTTAGGTTTATAGAAACGTTATAAAGGTGGCGTGGCCAGTTCATTCCCCTAGCCGGCTGTCCCACTATGAATGTCTCTAGCCACAGCACCAGGACCCAAACCACAAAGTCACCACCACTCAGTTCTCTGCAGTTGTCCCTCGCAGTCAGCTTCTCATCCAGGATCCAAGCTACGAGACACCATTGCACTCATATGGTGCTGTTTCCTTCGTCTCTTCAGATCTGTGGCAGTCCCTCACTAAGTCGTGCCTTTCATGACCTCAGCATGTTTGTGTTTCACAGCATAACCTTAAATACACCTGCACATCATACATGTACACACTGTACCTGCCGTCCTTTGCGGCTGACTCCCTTGTGTCCTGCCCGACCTCCATGTGTCCCCATCATCCTTTCCTCTCTCGACCTGGACTCCACAGTGGACAGTTTCTCCAGAGGTCTCTCCCGCCCTCTAGTGAGCCAGCAGAGAACAGGATCTGGGCTCTGCGAACTGCCTCACTTCAGTTTTGCCCCTAGCCTTTCTGCATTTCACTTCTAAGTAGCCATTGCCTTCTTCAGACTTGTTGAAAAGCAGTATCTTTTAGTTTTGAATAATAATAATCTTTGCTACTGTTTTGGCTCACACAATCTTAAAAACACAACCTCAGAACTTACTGAAAAGTTACTGAAATTAGTGAGAACCAACTGATATTTCCAGCATCAAACTGCTCTGCATGACATCTGTATAATTGCTTTGCATGTATACATTTTAATTGTCATTGCTTGGTAATTATTTATTACAGAAGTAACAATATTCAACGTGGGGTTCTCTTTTGCTGTAGTTTTTTTGGGGGGTGATGCAACAACTTTTTAAAAATCTACATCTTCCAACAGTATTAACTTGTCTTTTTGAGTTCAAATGGACACAATGACATGCAGGTTCTGCATGCCTATGCATAGCTAAACCTTTTCTCCCTCGCAGTAAGTAAATTTACAGGCATAACAGCCTTGATCCCTATGCAACTTCCCTGTTACACCTTTCTTTACAATGTTAACTGAAGTTACTCTCAAGTCTGTTCTGAAACAGTTGAATGCCCCTCATTGACTTCTGGAACTCTCTGAACTCTGGTCTTTTAGAGAATCTGAGTACATAAAAGACGCTGATGAAGAGAAAGCTTCCTTGCAGAAATCCATCAGTCTCACCAGTGCCTTACTCACAGAGAAGGACGCGGAGCTGGAGAAGCTGAGGAATGAGGTAGGTGCTGTGAGGATGGTCCCGCCCATGTTCTGCCCCTCCTCCCTGCCTGAGCCCAGGATCCGTGTTACAGGTCACGGTGCTCCGGGGAGAGAACGCCTCTGCCAAGTCCCTGCATTCAGTTGTGCAGACGCTGGAGTCTGATAAGGTGAAGCTTGAGCTCAAGGTCAAGAACTTGGAGCTTCAACTCAAGGAGAACAAGAGGCAGCTCAGCAGCTCCTCAGGTAAAAGGATGCCCACGTGGTGCTCCAAGACACGCGTGTGCCTCCTCCCCACCCGACTTTCCTCCCACTCCCGTACTGTGCCTCCTCCAGGGGCCTCTCCAAGGAGAGATGCCCTTCCAATGTGCTGCCCAGCTGCCCTGCCCCATCCCATCCTGCCCCCACCCCTCCCACTGTTGAGTCCAACAAGGGCTAGTCACAGGTACGCTTGGTGCTGAGTGTTCTCATGCCGTAACTGTTAAAACACACATGAGGCAGTACATGACAGCTGCCATCATTCAAGCAATGGTGAGGTCTCAAAGTGCAAGGCAGCGAAGGAGAATAGAGATTACTGCACCCTTAAAAAATCAGACACTAGTACTGTTTGTTGTGCTTCTGCTGCAGCGATGGGCAGTGAAACACGAACCACGAGTCAACAAACCCACAGTGGAGTTTATTGAAGGGAAAGGGAAGAAGAGAAGGGGGTGTTGGCCAACTGGGAGCAGAGATAGAAGCCGAGAAGAGAGAGCAAAGAAGGAAGAGAGAGAGGAGAAAGAGGAGGGGGAGGGAATGAAGGGAGAGCGAGTGAGAGCATGTGGAGGTGCTCACTTAAAGGGGGAAGCTTGCACATGCGTGCTGGGTCCTTACAAAGCCCTGTAATGAGTGACCAGCCATAATAAGGCCACGAAGCACAGGGCCCCTTGAGCTGCCTAAGCATCTGCCTGAATGCCATATTCATGTCCCACCCGTTGTCAGGGGTGGGGTCAGCATAAGGCCGGGTTCTAACAAGTACCTCATAGGTGGACATCTTGAGAGAGAATCCCTGAAGGGGCGGAGCTAGCATCTGTGAGATCCAGTAGCAAGCAGCCAGAGAGCAGACAGGAAATTTTCCCCATTCTCAGAGACACTTGAAAATTAGTGTCCTATGGCAGCCCATCACTGCAGCAACAAGGAATTGGCTTGCAGTGTTTTCTCGTGATCCCCCAATTACTCTTTTTCTTGTTGTTGTTAAATCTAAGGTAATACTGATGCCCAGGCAGAAGAGGATGAGAGAGCCCAGGAGAGTCAGGTAATGCTCCTCCATTAGTGCTTCTGCTGTCTTCCTATTCTTCAAAGTCAGTAGATATCGTGAGAGCTTAGTGCATCCCTAGAGACTAAATGCTGACAGTTTTAAAGTGTACCCAGTAAAAAGTCTTCCAGTCCCTACTGTTCAGTCTCCCACATTCCTGACATTGCTACCCACATCTTTTTTTTTTTTTTTTTTTTTTTTTTGGTTTTTTTCGAGACAGGGTTTCTCTGTGTAGTTTTGGAGGCTGTCCTGGCACTCGCTCTGTAGACCAGGCTGGCCTCGAACTCACAGAGATCCGCCTGCCTCTGCCTCCCGAGTGCTGGGATTAAAGGCGTGCGCCACCAACGCCCGGCGCTACCCACATCTTAACCTTTGCAGAAATTTTCTTTTGTTTTAATGTACAGCTAGATGTGGTATGTCAGGCACATACCTATAGCTCTAGCACTTGGAAGGCTTAGATGGGAGGATCATTGCAACCTTTTGAGACCAGCCTCAGCTCAATGTGACATAGCAAGAGCCCCACCTCTAACACACTCACTCACTCCAATATAAATAATATAATCTCCCCTACGTTAATTTTTTTTCTGTTTTTGGTTTTTTGAGATAGTGTTTCTCTGTATAGTCCTGGCTGTCCTGGCACTCGCTCTGTAAAACAGGCTGGCCTCAAACTCACAGAGATCCACCTGCCTCTGCCTCCCAAGTGCTGGGATTAAAGGTGTGCATGACCATGCCCATTTTTTTTTATTTGTTTGGTTTTTGTTGTTGTTTTTGAGACAGGATTATTTCATATAGCCCTAATTTGTCTTTAACTTTTTGGTGCTTCTCCTGTCCCACCTCCCAATTGTTGGACCACAGGTGTGCATCACCAGCATAGCTGGCTCCCCTACAGTTTGTTTTGTTTTTTTTAATATATACAGTGTTTTGCCTACAGGTATGCTTGCAGACCAGAAGAGGGCAGCAGATCTTGACAGATGGTTGTGAGCCTCTATGTGGGTGCTGGGAATTGAACTCAGGACCTCTGGAAGAGCAGCCAATGCTCTTAACAGCTGAGCCATCTCTCCAGCCCCCTCTGTAGTGGTATAGTATTCCGTTGTGTAGATGTACCATAATTTAGTCAGTTCCCTTTTCGTGGCAGGACACTGTGATCCTTGTAAGCTTGTGTGTGTGTTATAAACAGTGCTGTAAGGAAACAGCTGTCAGACTCAAACTGACTAGGAGTTAGCTTTGTCTCTTAGTGTGTCATAGGTATAGTACAGAATTAACATTGTTCTCTCTTCCCTCTTCCCCGTTTCCTTTCTGCTTCCATTTGTTTCTGCTGCTGCCGCCAACACTTTTCTTCCCATCAGCAAATGGTTTGTTTTATGCTTTCTTATTTGTGTACACATGTGCGTGTGGCTGTGTGTATGGTTTCCTTGGCCTTGCAGTGGAACTCCTAACAGAATGACTTAGAAGATGCAACTTGAAAGACAGGTGTGGGGGCTGGAGAGATGGTTCAGGGGTTAAAGCAGCAGTTTTGCTTACAAAAGAGCAGGTTCCCAGTGCTCATGTGGTGGTCTACAACCACCCTTAACTCGTGGCCTCCAGAGTCCACACAGGCACAATACTCACACACATGAAATGAATCAGAGAGAGAGAGAGAGAGAGAGTGCCAGGTGTGCTAGCACATCCATGCAGTCCCAGCTCTCAAGAGGCAGAGACAGGGAGATCTCTGTGAGTTTGAGGCCAGCTACAATGTGAGACCCTATCTTTAAAAAAAAGGTAAAGAAGTTCAAGGCCATCCTCTGCCACAAAGTGAATTGGGTTTTGTGTTTTGTTTTTGTTTGTTTCAAATAGGGACTAACTTGTATAGACCAGGCTGGCTTCAAAGTAATAGGGGGCAGCCTGCCTCTGCCTCCTGAGTGCTGGGATTAGAGGTGTGCATCATTCCCAATTTAAGGCCAACCTGGGAAATGTAGCAATAGTCTATCTAAAAAAAGAAAAGGGAGAGAGAGAGAGAGAGAGAGAGATTTTGTGTGTGTGTGTGTGTAGAGAAAGAGAGAGAGAAACATCAATGTAGAGATATGAAACCTTTTATTTTGTAAAAGAGGGAAAATGTCTTGATTTTGAGTACTCTGGTTTAAAAGAATGTGAAGTGTTCAGGACATGTTACCTTCTGATAGTCACTTTGTTGTGCTTGCCGCCAAGCTATTCTTGGAACAGGTACCCTTCCTGTATGTCACACATGCCACATCTCTCTGGCAGAAAGGGAGCTTGGCCCTCTCTGTGGAGCCCTACATCTTCCCTGAAGATGTTCTGGTGTGCTGTCCTGTTGCTGAGCAGTCAAGTGACCTGAGAATAGTTCCATGTTACTTTTTCAAATCTATGTAGCAGAAAAGTTCTAAGTCAGTTCTAGACTTCAGACACCTTTAATGCTCATTTAATTGTTGATTTATTTATGGATCCAGAAAACCCAGGACCTCACACATACCAGACAGATCTCTGTCACTGAACTGTATTTTCAGCCCTGGATACACACACACACACACACACACACACACACACACACACACACACACACACACACACACACACACAGGAAAAATAAACCATGCCTGTGTATTCAGAATGTGAAATTATGACTGTGGACAGCATAATGTGTTCTGTTTTGCTGAAAAATATCAGTAGCATTTCACCAATCCACAGTTTAGTTGTTTAAGTGTGATGTCATGAGTCTCAATGACAATTGAAGTTCATCCATTCACAGTTTCTGATTCAATGACATGAATTTAAAGAGTTTAAATATACACGTATTTATTTCCTCAGCAGCAAACCCTGAGAGATGGAAAGGTTAAGAAAGAACCCTCCTTGCCCCCTTCCCCTGGCTGTGATCTCATTCCTAGCTGTCGTTGGTCCTGTACGCTCAGCATGCCTGTTCCTTGGAGAGACTGGAAAGCACAGGCTCTATAGCAGGCACAGTTGGTCCTGCTGTGACATGTGCCTGCAGATGTAGTGAGAATGCACTTCCTAATTTCTAGACCCCAGCTGTATGTGGGTTAGGCATTTACATACCTCACTGCCTTTTTTTTTTTCTTTAAAAAAATCAGATTGATTTCCTCAATTCGGTAATAGTGGACCTTCAAAGAAAGAATCAAGACCTTAAGATGAAGGTGGAGATGATGTCTGAAGCTGCTCTGAATGGCAACGGGGATGACCTGAATAGCTATGACAGGTATGACAGAAGAGATTCGAGTGTCAATGGTCAGGTTCTCCAGTGGTTGCTGGGTACACTCTGCCAGGACAAACCACCATACATCTGGCAAGAGTGACAGAGCACAGCCGTCCAACCTGCTCATGTTTAGATTCAGTTTGTGTGAATATTTTGCCAGCATGTATATATACACACCACACGTGTGCCTGCCACCCTTCAAGGCCAGAGGATGGCATCAGATGCCCTAGAACTGTAGTTATAGACAATTTTGAGCCTCCTTGTGGGTGCTGGGAACTCTGTTCTTAACAGCTGAGCCATCTCTCCAGCCTACACTGCACATCTACAAAGCTTTGTGCTGACTCTTCTGGAAACCCTAGCTGTGGCTGTCATTAGTCCCTGAGTGCTTTTAGATTCTCTGTGAGTGCTATGACCTCCTGAATGTCTTCTACCAACCTCCTGATTTCCTGTGTTGACATTTGTAGTGATGACCAGGAGAAACAATCCAAGAAGAAACCCCGCCTCTTCTGTGACATTTGTGACTGCTTTGATCTCCACGATACAGAGGACTGCCCCACCCAGACACAGATGTCAGAAGACCCTCCACATTCTACGCACCACGGCAGTCGGAGCGAGGAGCGGCCATACTGTGAGATCTGTGAGATGTTTGGGCACTGGGCAACCAACTGCAATGACGATGAGACCTTCTGAGGGAGCCTCAGGGCGGGACTGGGCTTCTTCAGACTCCATCATCCAAGCCGCTTTCCACCAGCATCGCGTGTGCCACTTCACAAGAACTTGTTATTTTTTGACTCCGTCAGCAAATCTAAGAAAATATTTTGATCTTCAGCACATTACCCTTCATTTCCTCTCATAAGTTAAAATAAATATTTGGTAGGTGGCTTTCCTTCCATCTTCATTTTCTGGATTTTTAAGATTTAAGACATTGCATCGGGTGCCATTGCTTTTCTGTTCCTAAAGAAACATCGTGGGACAAGCTGGACCCTGACACCATCTTATTTAAGAAACGTTAAATTGCCGGGCGTTGGTGGCGCACGCCTTTAATCCCAGCACTTGGGAGGCAGAGGCAGGTGGATCTCTGTGAGTTTGAGGCCAGCCTGGTCTACAGAGAGAGTTCCAGGACAGCCTCCAAAACAATACAAAGAAACCCTGTCTCGAAAAAAAAAAAAAAAAAAGAAACGTTAAATTATACCGTTATTTCTCATATTTGCACTAAAATATTTCCTGGCTACATATGTATATTTAGGGTTTTTGCTGTTATTGTTGTTATGCTTTAACACTGGAATGAGTTGCAAAAAATGTGCCACTTTGCATTTTCATGTACTCATTTAAATAATTTTATTCTAAATATCCAAGCTCTCTGCACTACCTGCTCTCAGTAGTGCCTTTTTCCAGGCTTGACAATACATAGGTGTGATTATAAATCATGAAACAGGTAAAAGGGAGGGGAATGCCCCAAACTGCTGTGGGGACATTTATAGTCTACATGCTGCACCCACAGACCCAACAGTGGTGTTTTCTTTATCAGTTTTACATAATTTCAACCTCTATATATTATATGTATATATATATTTTTAAAAATCTATATTTTGGGAAAAACTATATACAATGTGTCTTCTTTTCAGATTTTTTTTACCTTTATGAATAAGAAAACACATAAAAGGCTCATCAGGATGTAACTGACCAGTCCAGAAACAGCATCTGTGGCTTCCTACCTGTTGTCTTCCTTTCCATGTTTCTAACCAGATCTGAGGATCTGGGAGAACGGCCTCCAGCTGTTTGGTTTATTTCCCTTCTTTAGCAGATAATCCCAGTAGTGAACTAAGCCACTCTGCAACAGCTAAACTAACTGATCTACAGCCCTGCTTTATGTGTTTGTGGGGTTTTTACTGTATTTTTTAATGAATGTACGATGAGAAATTCAACATGAATAATTTTGAATTTTCTTATCACAAAAAGATAAAACGAAGGACCTCATCATACAAAAGAGTTTATCAGTCAGTCTGAGTCTGTCTTCACTTGAATGTTTTTGAGAATATGTAAAAAGGAATTAAATGCACCTTCATGCAGCCTGCATGATAAGAACTTCCATCATTGTATATAAACCTTTGTCATATCCCCCTCAAGATTATCCACTGTGCTTGACGAGTGAACATTAAATAAATCTGTTACCAGTTGACATTTTTGGTTAATAAAGCTATAGGAATTATTTCACAAACAAAATATGTAAAGCAGTATTAAAATCTGAGTCATGTACCTACTTTAATCGATTCTTTTGTTTTTCTGCCAGTAGTAGTAAACATGTTTTTGGGATGAGTTGTCATTTTTTTTTTTCAAGTAAGAAAGCACAGCTTTAGACTGTGCTGGTTTAACCCCCAGAAACAGCTGACCTGACAAGGGTTAGCTCTTGAATCCCAGACTGATGGCTGGGAATCCAGCATGGGACTGATCATGACCTGAATGTGGATGTCAGTGAGGAGGCCTAGGTAATCTATGGGACCTTGGGTAGTAGATCAGTATTTATCCCTGGCATACAAAAGGAATTTGGGTGCCCATCCCACAATAAGAGATTCTCTCTCAGCCTGGACTCTTGGGGGAGGGTCTAGGCCCTGCCCTGAATGAAATGATAGACTCTGGACACCCCATGGAGGGCTTCACCCTCCCTGGGGAAAGGAGGGAGTATTGGGGGGTTGGTGGGGGGGGGCGTGGGAGGAGGGGAGGTAAAGGGAGAGGGACCTGTGATTGCCATGTGAAGCAACCTTGTTTCTAATTTAAATTTAAAAACTAAAATAAAAAGAAAGCACAGCTTTAATCCCAGCACTCAAGGAGGCAGAGGCAGGTGGATCTCTGTGAGTTTTCTAGCCTGGTCTACAAGAGCTAGTTCCAGGACAATCAGGGCTGTTATACAGAGAAATTCTGTTTCAGGGGTGGAAGTGGGGAGAGCTCTTTAGATCTAAAAGTAATCCCTTGCTGCCTCTACCACTAAGCCACAATGACAGGTCTGAATACAGGTCTTTCCACTTCAATAGAACAACTTCATAAACAACTATAAGAAATTGGTGTGTCCAGCTAGACCCTTTGGAGGCAGAGGCAGAAGGGTCAGAAATTCAAGGCCATCCTTGGCTACATAGCAACTTGGAGGCCAGCAAGCTACATAAGACTGTTTAAAAAGAAGAGAAACAAACCTACTATGTCCTGAGTGTTAGGCCTTGTAAGTATTGATGGAGTTACTTATAATAATGTCAGCAAGGAACCAGGCACACACTTTTAATCCTAGCTCTTGGGAGGCAGAGGCAGGCAGATCTCTGAGTTTGAGGTCAGCCTGGTCTGCAGAGTGAGTTCCAGGACAGCCAGGGTTACACAGAGAAACCCCATCTCACAAAATAACAAAAATGTCAGCAGGAGCCGGATATATAGTTCAGGGTTACAGTGCATGCCCAACCCCCACAAAAGACCTGGGTTCAATCCTTAGCACCACACGCAAATGCCAATGACAGCCTCCTGAGGTTCATTGATTTGCATATTGTTTGGGAGTCATGTGGCTTGCTTGGGAATGATGATGCCAATCACTGAAACAAGGAAAAAAAATACAGAACCGGGCATGGTGGCAAGTACTAATCCCTGCTTTGGGAAGGTGGAAGCAGGAGAATCAAAAAACAGTTCAAAGCCTTCCCTGGCCAATTAGCAAATTCAAGGGTAGCCTGGGATACATGAAAGAGAACCTGTCTGGGAAGGAAAGAAACTGGGGAGATAGCTCAGTCAGGCCATGGGTTGGATCCCAGAATCCACAGAGTTGAGCATGGTGGCACACATTTGTGATCCTGTACAGAGGAGACAGATAGGCATAAACGCCAGGAGCTGGCAGGCTTTGATCTCTGTAAGGAACCACTGTCACCTGAAGACAGGATGCTACGATGCAACTGTTGTAGTGGATTTTGTGAACTGGAAAGAGACAGGTGGAGACGCCCTGTCCTGACTGGGGCTGGTAGATTAACCTGAGTTCAAGGCCAGCCTGGCCTCTATGATGAGACCCTGTCTCAAGGCAGGGGCGGAGTAGGTGCACAAAATGCTTCTTACCCAGCAGAGGAAGGGTGTCCTAGAAGACCGCACAACCTCTTGGAAGGATCCTGGGCTGCCAAGTGACTTCATGAAACTCCACTAACCAGTGCTCACACCAGAACATGAGAGACACATCTTTTTTCTTTTTTAGTAAGAATCAAAAGAAGCCTTGTGTGGTATACATCTGTCACCTCAGTACTTGGGAGGGAGATCAAAAGTTTGAGGTCACAGTGAGCTACATAGTGAGTTCAACACCTCCTGGACTATATGAGGCCGTGTTAGAAGCTGTGAAAAAAAAACTGATTTTTTTGTTGTTGTTTTTCGAGATAGGTTTTCTTTTGTGAATCATTCAAAAATTAAATGTCATGGGTAATCCACTACTTTATCACAGCATATTAAAAAAGTGTAAGTGCTGGACGTTGGTGGTGCACGCCTTTAATCCCAGCACTCGGGAGGCAGAGTCAGGTGGATCTCTGTGAGTTCGAGCCAGCCTGGTCTACAGAGTGAGTTCCAGGAAAACTCCAAAGCTACACAGAGAAACCCTGTCTAGAAAAACAAACAAAAAAAGTGTAAGAGGGACTGACAGGGTGGAGGATAAGGGCAGATATTCTACACTCCATATGGTAAAAAGGAATCTACAATATAAGTTATTGCTAGTTTTTTGCACACTGTTAAGAGCTTGCTTGCTTTATTGCTCCAGATGACCTTGTAGTAACACAAACTCGACACTGGCTGACTCAGCTCAGACATCCAGATGTTAAGAGGTAATGTGGTTGACCACCTAGCCAGAAGGACGACACTGAGCTCCCAAACAATTGACAGCCTGTGCACTCCCTTCACCCCCTGCCACCAACAGGCCTTCTCAGAGTCTCGGCTGGAGAGATGGCTCAGTGGTTAAGAGCATTTGATACTCTTCCCAGAACACTGGTGTTGGTTTCCCAGTACCAGGTGACAACACATAACTACCTGTAAATCCAGTTCCAGGGGATCTGATGCCATTGTGGGTACCTGCACTCATATGCACATATTCATATGCAAGACACACACACAATTAAAAAAAATAAATCATTGTTTTTGGAGACAGACTTTCTCTGTATAACAGCCCTAGCTGTCCCTGAACTCACTCTGTAAGCCAGGCTGACTTCAGACAGAGATCCACCTGCCTCTGCCTCCCAAGTGCTGAGATTAAAGATGCTTTCTACCATGCCCAACTTTATTATTATTTTTGAAAAATAAATCTTTAATATTCCTTTCCTGACCCCTTTTATTGGCTTTTGTGGGGACAGGAAGCAAGTTTCAGTATTCTGGTTACAGCAACATATAATTCCACTTACTTATTTTGTGGTGCTTGGGGTAGGGTTAAACCTAAGGCTTTGCACGTCCCAGGCAAGCACCTGACCACTGAGCTGTTTCCTAGACCTTGACTGAGAAAAGCCCTCACTGTGTAGCTCAGGTTGGGCTGGGCCTTGCTATGTAGACCAGACAGGCCCTCTGCTTCCCAAGTGCTGGGATTATAGGCATGTGCTGCTCTGTCTTCTTAGTAACCCACAAACCTTTATCAACTCTCAAAATTGCTAGGATAGCTACTGAACCAGTTGGCTATACGGCTACCTCCCCACACAATAGTTTCAAAAGCACCGCGTTAAAGTAAATAAAATTATCCGCTGTTGTATTGAGGTGACTGGGTGAGTGTGAGAGCCGAAGAGCTGTCATAGCAGGCAAGAGCACTTGCTGCTCTTGCAGTAACTCTAAAAATATCGCGTGTGCGCGCACATGCACAAGCCCGTGGAGGTCAGAGGACGCGGGTATTAGTGGATCTGAACTGGGGTTGCAGACATTTTTGAGTTGCCACGTGGGTCCTGGAAACCCAATCGGGTTCTCTGGAAGAGCAGCAAGTACTGTTGATCACTAAGCCATTTCTCTCTTCTCTTTAAGTGTTTGCCTGAAGGTAGGCCAGAAAAGGGTATCGGACCTCCTGGGACGCGAGTTGCACATGGTCACGAGCCACAAACCTGGTCCTGGGAAAAGCAGCAAGTTCAGGTTACTGCCGAGCCATCTATAGTTTACTTGGAGACAGGGGCTCCCTGTGTAGCCCTGGTTGTCCTGGAACTCGCTTTGTTAACCAGGCTGGCCTCGAATTTACAGGGGTCTGCCTGTTCTGGATTCAGCCACTTTTAACACTAGACTGGGTGTGGTAATACACACTTTGTAGTCTGGCCTCAATCACCATTTCACACCAGTATTGTAGCAGCTAAGACAGAAGTGTGGTGCCTTTTAAACGGGACAAATGACATCTAATTCTTTTGTTTAGTTTTTTTCAACTTTTCAACGTGGTGGCACACTCCTTTAATTCCAGCACTCAGAAGGCAGAGGTAGGAGGATCTTAAGTGAGAAAGGCTGTTACACAGAGAACGGAGGGGGAGGGGGAGGGGAGGAAGAGACAGACAGACAGACAGACACACACACACACACACACACACAGAGACACACAGACACACAGACACACACACACCAAACCCCCCCGCACTTTTCAGTGCCCACCGTTCCCAGACAGAGACACGGGGTGAAAACACTGGCACTCTAGGACTTCCGGGCGAGCCCAGCGGAGGAGTCCTCCTTCCGCGGTAAACGGACGTCAGAGAGTCTGGTCACGTGGGCGGGCCGTCACGTGACCGCGTGGCGTCTGGGAAGCGCCGGTAGCGGGTCAAGATGGCCGCGCACCTGTCATACGGGCGAGTGAACCTGAACGTGCTGCGCGAGGCGGTGCGTCGCGAGCTGCGGGAGTTTCTGGACAAGTGCGCCGGGAGCAAGGTGAGGGGCGAGGCTCGGCGCCACCCTGCCCGGCCTGGCGCGGCTGGGCGAGGCGTCTAGGGCGACCGGGCCGCTGCTCTGTGACAGCCCCCAGCTCTCCCGCCGGCGGGCGCGTCGTCCCTTCCAGTCTGAAGCACCCACGCCCACAGCTGACTCCACACACGCTGAGAGAGGATGGACTCCACCCAAACTTTAACACTTGGCCTTAAACGCGAGTTTTGCCCATAAAAGTACCCAACTTTCAAGGGAGGCGGGCTAGACCGGGGACTTAATAGAGTTTCCTTCCTCTTTTTCCTCATTGTTAGTTTGAGGCAGAGGCTCACTGTGTAGCCCTGGCTGGCCTCGAACTCGCCGAGGTCCACCTGCCTCTACCGCAGAGTGCTGGAATTAAAGGCG